TCCGAGAAAAGGAAAATTAGCAACGTGGCGGAGAAGAAGGGGACGGAAGAGAAGGGGACAGGTGAAACGCTTAGCAAGGTGGAGACGACTATGGATTGGAAGAAGGAGTTAGCATCATTCCTTCGACAAATGAGGGACGAAGGAAGAGCAATTGCTGAGGAAATGAAGGCCAAGGGCAACGAAGGAACGGGAGAAGGTCAGAGGAATCAAGGCGAATTGGTGGCGGAGCAAATTTTCCGATCAAAAATGGCGGCGACTGAAGACGGGGCTGACTTGAGGACCTTTCTTAGTTTGATGGAGCAAGAGTTTCGAGAAATGAAAATTTCGGAGGACCAATGGGGTTTATTGGTGAGAAAGTACCTAATTGGACGGGCGGTTAAGCAATGGGATTATATATATCGATCCGGTATAGATATGACTAATTGGTCCCTGGTGCGTGAAAGGCTTTGTGAGAGGTTCCGCGTTCTACCACGGGAAAGTATGATATCTAAAATGAAGGAAAATGTATGGAAAGGGGACTATAACGAGTATACGAACGCGTTTACAGATATAGTGATTACAGGAGAAGAGATGCCCGAAGAAGAATTGGCTATATTTTTCTTAGCGGGATTGCCTGAGGACATAGGAGATAGGTTGACGAAGCGAGGGAAGAGGGAATTCCCGACGTGGCACGAAGCAGCAAAGGCGTTAAGAGAGTACGTTGTTCCAATGAATGCGTGGCGAACCAAGAGAAAACGCGCAGTGCGGGAAATGCAGAGTATGGAAGGACTAATGTGTCCGGCAGAAGGCAATACCAAGGCAGAGGGAGAGAAGAATGCGGGAAAAGCGGAAGGCACGAATGGTATAACGCGAAGGGTTACACCATCTGTTAGAGTAGCGACAGACGGGGAACGGGACGTAATACGCTGTTACGAGTGCACAGGAAGGGGACACTTGGGAAGGGACTGCCCTCTGCGTAACGGAGTAATAAGAAGAAGAGGAGAGACTTGCTCTAAATGTGGAGGCAAGGATCATTATGCAAGAGACTGTGCGACTGCGAGACGAATAACGGTAGGAAGCCAGAGAGTAAATATGGGAGCGAGTATGGAGACGAGAGAGGGAGTCAATCGGTCAAACGAGAAGGCCTAGGTGCTGAAGGAGATGAGTGTCCTAGGCCAGAACTTAGTGGCAAGGGGATGCAGGTGGTTACAAACCCAAACGCCATAAAGATCTCCAGCCCTATCATACGAAGCGATCGAGCGGTAGTGACGAGCGAAGTAAATGGGAACGAAGTGATAAAGCGCAGAGGGAGGTACGTGATGCTGATGAACGGAAACGGAGAACCACCTAACGGGAACGGGATTGGAACGGATGAGAGTGAACGGGGGGAGCTGAGCGAGGAAGCCGGGGCGTTAGTCGGAGAAGAGATGATCCTACCGTCTTGGTTGTGGGAGCAAGATGGGCGAGCGAACCCGCATGGTACGTTGTGCAGAGTCTGTAGCGGTGGGAGAACGGCGGTGCTGCAGTTGGAGATAACAGGGTATCCATGTGAAGGGCTACTGGACACGGGGGCATCAAGGAGTTTTATTCAACCAACGGTTGTAGAAAGGTTGGGGCTAAGAACGAGAGCACTGTCAGAGGAGTATTTCTTCACGGTAGCAAACGGGGAAATTATTAAGATACATAGAGAAGTGCCGCGACTTGCCATAATTTGCGGAGGCGAATGTTTCACGGGAAATTTTCTTGTAGGACAGGTGCCATATGCGGTGATTTTAGGAATTGATTGGCTAGATAGGTACAAGGTAGCGTGGTTTTTCGGATCGGATAAGCTGAGAACGTATGTAAAGGGCAAGGTGTGCGATTTACCTGTGTTGCGAAAAGAGGGAGAAAGACCCACGGAAATTACGGGAAAGGGTGATACTGACAAAACCGAGGCAGACCTGGCATATGAGGAGTTAGCGAAGCAAGTAGCGAGAATGACAACGGAGGAGGCTGCAGTGTTCGTACGTGCACCGAGCAAGCGTTATAAAGCGAAGCATAGGAAGACGGGAAGGATAAGAATAAGGGAGCTTATCGATCAGGCTAGGGAAAACGCTAAGGAATTGAAAGGAGTGATACAAGGATTAAACTGCATTGTTGAATTGCCCGAAACAGAGGTTGACCTAGGTCAGCGAAGAACAGTGATGAAACAAGGACACATAATAGGAGCAATGGTACAACAAATAGGGAATACCAGGGAGAGGGCTGCGAAAGGACCAGGGAAACCGAAAGACTTTGAGGACAAGGAAGACTCACCATGGTCTAGGGCTACTCTGGAATTTACGGAATTTGACAAATGGATTGTGGGTGAAGAGGCACAAGCTATACCAGCGCAAGTGGTTCAACTGTTAAGAAAGTATCGGACTTTATTTCCTGATAACTTACCCGATGGGTTACCTCCCAGAAGACCCTTCGATCACAGAATTCTCCTAATTCCAGGGAAGTTACCTACCAAAGCGCCTATTTACAAAATGCCTCCTGATCACCTGATGTATCACGCGAAGGAAATAGAACGACTTTGTGCAAAGGGTTGGATAGGACCGACCTACTCACCTATCTGTGCACCGACGATTATGGTGGGCAAAAGAGATGACGGGTCTGGGGAGCGGAAAATGCGTATGGTAGTAAATTATCAGGCGCTGAATGCATTAACTATTGCAACTGAGTTTCCTATGCCGTGCGTGCAAACCGTAATAGAGATGCTAGGAGGGGCCTCTTACTTCTCAACGCTGGATCTGGAAGCGGGGTTTCATCAGATAAGAATGGCTAAGGAAGATAGATGGAAGACAGCATTCAGATCAATACAAGGATTGTTCGAATATAAGGTCATGCCATTTGGTTTGAAGGGAGCGCCAGCAACATTTCAAGCTAATATAAACGCGTATTTGCAACCCTTGTTAGGACATGGGGTGATTGCTTATATTGATGATGTCCTAATCTATAGTAAAACATTAGAAGAGCACCTTCAGGTGTTACAGCAAGTCTTCGAAATCTTTCTTAAGAATCAATTTTACCCCAAGTTAAGTAAATGTAAATTCGCTCAACGGGAGTTAACCTACCTCGGCTATACGATAGGTGCGGATGGAATAAAACCGGCAGCTGATAAAGTGGAGGCTATTAACCTATGGCCGGAAGACCTTACCAACGAGACTCAGGTGCGACAGTTTTTAGGCACGGTCAACTACTGCAGAATGTTCATGGGGCCGCGATACGCAGATCTCGCGCGACCCCTAGTAGACCTCACGCGTAAAAATGCGCCTTTCGTTTGGACTGAAGACCACAGAAACGCAGTACGACAATTGAAACAACGTTTAGCAGAATTTACGATTT